CAGTGTCTAAACTTATTTTCTAAAATTTCATATTTTTACAGTTTTTCTGGCATCACCTCGACACAAGCCTCACGGAAAACAGATCCATTCCATATTTTTGTTAAAAAACTCATACAACAATTAGAATGGATTTAAAAGCACAGGAGAAAATCATGTTTACAGTACGGACAGAGCAGAGACTTGAACAGTGACATACGAGGAACAACAACAGAATAAAGGAGATCAATTTATATTAAGATCAACTAAACAGTTTCAAATCTGACACACTTAGGACCACATGGATCTGGGAAGAAAACATCGTTCAGCATATGGCATATCGTAGACTTAGAAATACTACTTTAGGGCAAAAAACACAGAGACCCCTGCTGGAGGAGTGTGGTAACAGCACTATCCTCTTGTCATTATGGCTTCAGCTGTAGTCTGTTCGTTGCTATTCACCCGCTGTCCCTTTGTCTACAGCCTCAGTCCTGGATCTACAGCCTCAGTCTTGGATCTACATTCTCAGTCCTGGATCCACATTCTCAGTCCTGGATCTACAGCCTCAGTCCTGGATCTACAGCCTCAGTCCCGGATGTGTTACCTTGAGCACAGGAAGTACTTTGTGGAGAATGGAAACTGTCTCAGATCATATGGCCTTGACCTGTGGAGTACCACAGGGGTCGGTCCTGGGACCTCTTTTGTTCAATCTCTACATGCTGCCGTTAGGTCAGTTAATGCGCAGAAACGAAGTGTCCTATCACAACTATGCAGACGACACTCAGATCTATGTCTCACTGACTGCAGGAGAACATGGACCAGTGGACTCACTCCTTCACTGTATCCAACAGATCAGTGAGTGGATGCAAAACAACTTCCTTCAGCTAAACGCAGACAAAACTGAAATGATTGTCTTTGGTCCCCAGAAACAAAGAGAAAGCGTCATCTGTCATCTACAGTCTCTCTCCCTAAAACTTTCAAACAAGGTCAGAAATCTAGGGGTAATACTGGACTCAGACTTAAATTTTAATAGCCACATCAAATCAGTAACATCAGCAGCTTTTTACCATCTAAAAAACATTGCCAGGAACAAAAACATAGTGTCTAAAGCAGACTTGGAGATTCTTATCCATGCATTTGTCTCCAGTAGGACTACTGCAATGGCCTGCTCACAGGTCTGTCCAAACAGGCTGTAAAACAGCTGCAGTACATTCAAAATGCAGCAGCTCGAGTCCTGACTAGAACCAGGAAGTACGACCACATTAGTCCAGTCCTCAGGTCTCTGCACTGGCTTCCTGTGGCTCAGAGAATAGACTTTAAAGGAATAGTTCACCGTTTTTTACATACTGACATATGTTCTTACCTTACCTTAGACTAGTTAATAGTACCTGTCTGGTCTTAGTCCGTGCGCTCTGTCATGCAAACGGAGCAAAAACGGGAGCACAAACGCAGCCTCCTCTGTATACTGTATAGTACCCAAAAGGTAGCTCCCGCTAGAAGCTACCAAACTCTTCCAAGTGTTCCCTATTAAATGTATATAGTTACGTGACGTGTTACACTGCAAAGTATAGTAACACAGAAATGTAACTGTCGATTTTCTCAGCGGATAAAACGGGTACTATATTGTGAGGCGTAGTAATCTGAGGAGCGCTACGTCCGCGCACTAACTTCTCTCCGTACTACAAGTCACGCTGCTTCTATTGACGGAAGTGAGCGAGAGAGAAGTCTCCGGAGAGAAGTTAGTGCGCGGACGTAGCGCTCCTCAGATTACTACGCCTCACAATATAGTACCCGTTTTATCCGCTGAGAAAATCGACAGTTACACTGCAAAGTGTTAGTAACACAGCAATGTAACACGTCACGTAACTATATACATTTAATAGGGAACACTTGGAAGAGTTTGGTAGCTTCTAGCGGGAGCTACCTTTTGGTACTATACAGTATACAGAGGAGGCTGCGTTTGTGCTCCCGTTTTTGCTCCGTTTGCATGACAGAGCGCACGGACTAAGACCAGACAGGTACGTATTAACTGGTCTAAGGTAAGGTAAGAACATATGTCAGTATGTAAAAACGGTGAACTATTCCTTTAAAACAGCTCTGCTTGTGTACAAGTCTCTCCATGGCCTCGCACCAAAATATATTAGTGACATGTTAGTCCCATATGAACCAGCCCGGACTCTGAGGAGCACAGGGACTGGACTCCTGTTAGTGCCCAGAGTCAGAACTAAACATGGGGAGGCTGCTTTTCAGATTCATGCTGCTAAAATCTGGAACAGTCTTCCTGAAGATGTGAGACAGGCCTCCTCTCTGACAATGTTTAAAACCAGGTTAAAGACAGTTCTGTTTAGCTGTGCATACAACTGAGGGACTTTATACTTTTAGCTTTCTTTTTAATTTTCTGTGATTGTTTATGATTTTAATGCTTTCTTGTTTTGTTCAGCACTTTGAATTGCCTTGTGTATGAATTGTGCTATATAAATAAAGTTGCCTTGCCTTGCCTTGCCTTGATTCTCTGATCTGTTGTTGGCAAATCAACTTTGTAAAGTTCTCCGAGACGAATGTTGCTCTGATTTAGGGCTATACACAAATACATTAAATTGAATCATTAAGGATTTTTAGCAAAGGCACAATTGTGATGAAAAACTGTGGAGAACAAACTGTTATTTGAGTTTAGGAAAATGTACAGTGCCATAATACACCCGTGTATTATACATAGATCTATGTAAAACCCATAACTATTGTTCTTTATTTTCATTTACCCTTTCTGTAAGGCTTTGTCTTTTATTTTATTTTATTTTATTATTATTATTATTTATTTTATTTTTTTTGTTTGTTTATTATTGTTTACATAAGACTATATGTAAACACTGCGGCTTCTGTGGATGTTCATAACGGAGGAAGTTCGCCATATTATGTGTCTGTAAATAATGAAATGTTATTGATGCCCGGGGAGAATGGGGTGGGGGGGGGGGTTTAGCGGGGCCTGGGTGTGTGCGTGTGTGTGTGTGTGTGTTGTGTATTTATGTTGGGGATGGGTGGACCCATGGGAGGGAGGGGACAAAAATGTAAAATGTTTGCGCATTTGTTTTCTGTTCCGTGACCATTGTCATCTCTGTTTGCAGCGCAACACAATAAATACTTGATCAAAAAAAAAGGAAAATGTACAGTGCCTCCATAAAACCCAATCCAGACTCCAGCGTGAAGCGGCTGAGAGAAGGTGGTCTCTTCTCTGTGGATCAGCCTCATGTTATTTACAGAGACGTCGTAAAAGGATAAAACCCCTGCACTGTGGTCCAGGAAAACCCCGACTCTGGACCCGACTGGACCTGAGACTTTGGACTGGACTGAGTCAAACACAAATGAAGGACTGGTTTTGTCACAGAGTAAGGCCCAGGATTTATTATTGTTTCCAAATCTACATTCATCAGAGCGTCCTTTCCTCTGAATATCTCTGTATGAAACCGCGATACGAACACCAACATAATGTTGTGAGCTCCACTCCACCTCCCAGTAACAGCGACCTGTCACACTCTCTCTGCTCAGGACCTGCCAACACTCACTGAATCTGTCCTGATGATCTGGATACTTCTGCTGTTCTCTCCTGAGTGTCACTCTTCTGTTTCCATCAGACAGATACAGATCTGTGTTCACTGTGTTTGTGTCCAGAGTGAAGTCTGTAGAGTGTTGTAAGAACTGCTCTCTGTTCCTGGGTTCTGTGGTTAAAAGCTGGACTGGACTCAGAGCCAGAGAGATGTTGCTGCATCCCACCTCCACAGTGAGCTGCAGTCTCTCCCCGAGCTCGGACACAGCTAGGGTCACTTCCTCAAAGCAGCTCCGGGCCTCTGAGTGGACTCTTACTGGGTCTGGCCCCTCTGGGTGGCCCCTGACTGGGACTGGCCCCTGTGAGTGTGAGGCCAGTGCAGTGTGGAGCTGTAGAAAGCTGTTGTGGTCTTTGGTGAGGGACAGTGTGTCCAGGTCACAGAGGCTCTTCTTCAGCTCCCTCAGCTCCTGCTTCACTTGGTCTTGGATCTCTCGGACTCGACTCAGCTCTCTCTCCTCCTCAGACTGGATCTGCTGCTCCACTTCTTTGGCTCTTGTCTCCAGGAGAAGGATCATGTCTCTGAAGCTGTCCCTGCTGAGCTGCAGTGCTGTGTGGGCAGAGGTCCTGATGTCCTGCTCCTGCTGTTGGAGTGAGCTCAGCTCTGTGTCTTTGTGCTGGACGTCCTGGAGGAGCAGATGTCCCTGGGCCTCCAGCTGGGCCTGCCTCTGGGCCCTCTCTGAGGCTGAGGACACAGTCTCATGGTCCTTGTGTTTCTCCAGGCAGCAGACCACACACAGAAGCTGTCCGTCAGTGCGACAGAACATCTTCTTCAGCTCGTTGTGCTCAGAGCACATGTTTTCCTGGAGAGTGTGCGATGGCGCCACCAGCTGGTGTCTTTGAAGCACTGCAGAGTCATAATGAGGCTGTAGGTGGCGCTCACAGTAGGAGGCCACACACTGCAGACAGGACTGGACCGCTCTCAGCTTCCTGTCAGAACAAACATCACAGGACACGTCCTGAGGCTCACAGAGGTCCTGAGGGTCAGCAGGGGGCGCTGTCCTCCTCTGCTCCAGTAGAGCTTCTAACAGGATGTTCTTGGTCAGCACAGGTCTGGTGGTGAAGCTCACACGACACTCAGGACAGGTGTAGAGCCGCTGCTCCTCCTCGGTGTCCCAGTGGTCCTGGACACACTTCAGGCAGTAGTTGTGTCCACAGTTCAGAGTCACAGGAGTCTGCAGTGAATCCAAACACACAGGACACAGGAAGAGCTCTGTCTGCGCCATGGCTGCTGCTTTACAACAATGAACTCTGGACTGAGTTAACAGAGCAGAGGGAAGGGCCAGGCATTGTGTGTGTGTGTGTGTGTGTGTGTGTGTGTTCAGGACCAGTCTGTTACAGTGTTAGTGACATGGACTTAAGGCTCATAACCTCTTACTTTCTCCTCCTCCTCTTTTTCTCCATCTATATTCTGTGTTTTTACTCTTTAAGATATGCTGGTCTGCCCCTGGTGGACAAAAAGCATAGTCTGAATATGAATAGTTTCAAACCTAGTCCTTCCTTTACCTTCTCGTTCTCTCTCTTCTTTGGCAGACGACTGTACTTCACCATTGACGCCTCGTGCTCTGAACCAGGACCAGGACCAGAACCAGGACCAGAACCACACATTAGTACCACACACCAGTACTACATTACAATGGGATGTTTTGTGTTGACATTCTGAACTTACCGTCTGTGGCAATGCCGTAGATTTCCTTCAGAGTACTGATCTCTGTAATGACATTCATATGAAGTTAACACAGATCAAAAATCAGAAAGATACAGTAGCGAAGACGTTTGAACTTTCGTCTTTCAAATAGTTGAGATTTGGGAGTGATAGCTTCTTGTAATAGTTTAATGCAACAAATAACTACAAAACATTGTCATTTTCTTTGTCGTCTTGACCTTATTCCAGTCAAATCTTGTTCCAATCTAGTCCCAATCCAATGGAAAGGATTTGAAGCTGGGGTGCCCAACTGCTTTTTTCATAACTAATCTTTTTTTTCTTCTTTTTTTTAAGTCTTGTAAAAGTAGTATAAAAAAATATACTGTATTTGTCATACTTTTAAGAAAGAACCCTGGGAGCCACTGTTTGACTCTTTGGGCTTAAAGCTGATGGGCTGATTCATCTTTCGATCTACAAAGGAAGATTTATAGTGTGATAGAGGGCAAAGTGAAGACATTTTTGGGTTTAGGATGTATTATTGTGGGTTAGGGTTGTTAGGATACGGCACCAGACACCAGGTACCAGAGCAGGGCATGTGGACATGGAGCTTGAGTGTAAAAAAAGTCATTACTTTAATAGACCACTATCATTTTACAGAGAGAGACCAGAGAAAGAGCAGAGAGAGAGGGACCAGGGAAAGAGCAGAGAGAGAGGGACCAGGGAAAGAGCAGAGAGAGAGGGACCAGGGAAAGAGCAGAGAGAGAGGGACCAGGGAAAGAGCAGAGAGAGAGGGACCAGGGAAAGAGCAGAGAGAGAGGGACCAGGGAAAGAGCAGAGAGAGAGGGACCAGGGAAAGAGCAGAGAGAGAGGGACCAGGGAAAGAGCAGAGAGAGAGGGACCAGGGAAAGAGCAGAGAGAGAGGGACCAGGGAAAGAGCAGAGAGAGACCAGAGAAAGAGCAGAGAGAGAGGGACCAGGGAAAGAGCAGCGAGAGAGGGACCAGGGAAAGAGCAGAGAGGGAGGGACCAGAGAAAGAGCAGAGAGGGAGAGACCAGAGCGACATCAGAGAGAGAGAGCAAAGACAGACACCAGAGAAAGAGCAAGAGCGAGAGCAGTGAGAGAGCAAGAGAGAGAGCAGAGAGACCAGATAAAGAGCAAGAGAGAAAGAGACTGGTGAAAGAGACAAGAGAGAGACTCATTCATTTGTCTTTATCATTTTTGATTGGATAATTTTAAACTAAAAATCTAACAGACAAGGTCATAGATAACGGATCAGATAGGTCAACCCTTTCCTGGGGACACATACATGACGTGGCTATAATTTTAATTAAAAATACTATAAACTTGGTTATGAAAACCTTGTGCTAAATTCTTGCATACACACATACAAAGTAAAAAAGCACATTATCACATAAGTATCCATACCTGTGAGATCCTTCTCCCGAAACTGAATCAGGGGGAACACCATATTGTCGGCCATCTGGTTCGCCAACTCGGAGTGGAGCGAGTTCAACTGGAGGAAACAATTTAACACAGATTAGGCAGAAATATTAAGAGCTGTACAAGGACACACAAAGAGTCCAGGTCCGGAGCCAAGAGCACAGAACGCAGGGACAAGTCTGTGCCAAGATCCTCCAAAAGCAATCTGGGAAGTGGCATTCTCAGCATTATGGCAACGGACACTGTCTACATCATTAGGCTGGCCATACTCTGGAACAGAAGTCTATGGGACAGGCATAATAAAGGCCAGAGAGAGAGAGTAGTGAGAGAGACCAGAGAGACCAGAGAGAGTAGTGAGAGAGCAGAGAGAGAGAGAGAGAGCAGAGAGACCAGAGAGAGTAGAGAGAGAGCAGAGAGACCAGAGAGAAGAGAGAGAGCAGAGAGAGTAGAGAGAGAGCAGAGAGAGAGAGAGCAGAGAGAGAGCAGAGAGACCAGAGAGAGAGACCACGGAGACCAGAGACCAGAGTGTTTCTGTGGAGTTTTTTGTGTGTAATAGAAAAATAAAGTTAAATTCTATCAACTTGAATTTAGGGTTAGTTAATTCTATCAATTTCAGTTTCAATTAAAGACACTATTTATGGCAAGGCAAGTTTAATTGTATAGCACAGTTCATACACAAGGCAAATGAACGTGCTGAAAAACTGGATAGATAAAACTAACTGTTGATAACTTGGATTTGAACATTGTCAGGGAAGAAGCCTGTCCCACATTTCAAGGAAGACTTTTCCAGTTTTTAGCTGCTTACATCTGAAACCCTACCTCCTCATGTTTACTCTGACACCAGCAGGAGGCCAGTCCCTGTGCTCCTCAGAGTCAGAATTGGTTCATATGGCACTAACATGTCACAGATGTATTTGGTGCGAGCTGCTTTAAAGTCTATTCTCTGAGCCACAGGAAGCCGAGACCTGAGACCAGGACTAATGTGAGAGGACTTCCTGGTTCTAGTCTACAGTCATTTAAAAAGAAAGCACTAGAGAAGTACACAGAGGAGAGAGAGTGAGACCTTCAGCACAGAGTGAATGGGGGAGAAGTGTAGGGTTAGAAGGTGTTTGTGTCTAGTCTCAGTGTGTATTTTGTGTGTGTGTGTGTGTGTTTTTGTGTTTTATGAGTGAGGAAAGTTGAGACCAAATATGCGTTTGCTTCGAACAACACCTGTCTGTCCATTCATATTGTATCTTGCTTTTTGTTTTATTGGTCCCACTAAACCATAGACTGTAAACACTGACTGGCGCCTCCTACTGGTGACCTGCTTCAATCACTGTGCGTAGAGTGAGAGGTCAAATTCCCACTACTTTTACCATTATCTATGATCTATTGAAAACGTTTTGCTGTTTAGATTGTACTGGTTTGAACAACTGTGTCCGAGTAAATTCTCTGTGATTACGAAAAGTTTGTCTGAGTCTATTTTTAGCCGTGACCTTGCCGTTATAAGTTTCTTCTTCTGTGGCCGATTTATTCTAATTTCATTTGTTTGGAAACAGATCCTGTGTAAACGCGTTGTGCTTATCAACAAACAGTCGTCACCGTTAAGCTCCTTTAATTACTCAGATTTGGAGAGAGCTGAAGATCTGTGGATTAGCTGCGGCACTTGACCCTAATTTCAGAAAGAAATCTTTTTTGTTTTCTCCAAAGAATAAATATGAATGAATTACATTTCTCTGTTGAAAACACTGAAGCTGTGTAATCGTTGTGCAATGTGGATACTGCTTATTGTTTATTTTATGAGCAGAGAGAAAGAGCAGAGAAACTAGACAGAAACCAGAAAAAGAGAGACCAGAGAGACTAGAGGACAAGAGAGAGACCAGAGAGAGAGACTAGGGAGGGAACAGAGAAAGAGCAGAGGGACCAAAGCGGAACCGGAGAGAGACCAGAGTGAGAAACAAGAGAGAGAGACCAGAGAAACTAGAGAGAAACCAGAGAGACAGACTAGAGAGGCCAGAGAGGGACCAGGGAGAGAGAAAAGGGAGAGAGACTAGAGAGGGTCGAGAGAGAGGGACCAGCAGGGAGAGAGGGCAGAGCCTATAGTGAGGGACTAAAGACACCAGAGAGAGACCAGAAGGAGAGAGACCAGAGAAAGACAGATTTGTAGTCTGGATTAATTTGATTAGGTAATGACCAAACAACAGAGATAATGGCTGAAAAGGTTTTCAGATTAAAATTCATTCATTTATAATTTATCAAAAGCAAGTTCATTGCCCAAATAGAAGTAAAACAATATACAACACAATATAGAGATATTTTATAATGAATAACCTTAAAAGGAATAGTTCACCGTTTTTACATACTGACATATGTTCTTACCTTACCTTAGACTAGTTAATATGTACCTGTCTGGTCCGCGCACTAACTTCTCTCCGTACTACAAGTCACGCTGCTTCTATTGACGGAAGTGAGCGAGAGAGAAGTCTCCGGAGAGAAGTTAGTGCGCGGACGTAGCGCTCCTCAGATTACTACGCCTCACAATATAGTACCCGTTTTATCCGCTGAGAAAATCGACAGTTACATTTCTGTGTTACTATACTTTGCAGTGTAACACGTCACGTAACTATATACATTTAATAGGGAACACTTGGAAGAGTTTGGTAGCTTCTAGCGGGAGCTACCTTTTGGTCCTATACAGTATACAGAGGAGGCTGCGTTTGTGCTCCCGTTTTTGCTCCGTTTGCATGACAGAGCGCACGGACTAAGACCAGACAGGTACATATTAACTAGTCTAAGGTAAGGTAAGAACATATGTCAGTATGTAAAAACGGTGAACTATTCCTTTAAAGGGGATTTGTACCGTCTTCAAAATAACAGTCAAAGCAAGACTAGTTCGACCAATGGGAGAGAGCTCACATGTTCAGCCAGGATTTGAATGCATTTGCTTACCTCAGGATCAGGAAGAGTAGATCTATTTGATAAGTGCATAAAAAAATCTCTATCTCTTCCAATTTGTTTTTACCGGTAGTTTGGTTTGTGGTTTAGTCCTGGCTTAATCCTAATTTGTTCCATCTTTCTAAATAATCCACTTTAATCTCACGGCTTTATATCTGCTTTAGGCTCAGTCACAGTTCACACATGGACCTGGAACTTGTGGCTTTCAAACAGCTAAAACTTTGAGAAACAACACCACAGACTAATTTCCTGAGAGCTTTCCGTGTTGTTGTTGTCGGGACAATAGCAGCATCAGGCACTTTCCCCTTTTAGCCTCAAAATAAATGAGTTTTGGGAAAAAGCAGAAAGAGAAATGTGTATAATCCACAAGGTCAGCCACCTGCAGGAGGCACAGGTGCAGGACACTTCATCTTACAACATTCATTTACCCAGAGACCAGAGAGAGACCAGAGAGAGACCAGAGAGAGACCAGAAAGAGACCAGAAAGAGAGACAAGAGAGAGACCAGGAAGAGACCAGGAAGAGACCAGGGAGAGACCAGAGAGAGACCAGAGAGAGACCAGAAAGCGACCAGAAAGCGACCAGAAAGCGACCAGAAAGCGACCAGAAAGTGACCAGAAAGAGACCAGAGAGAGATCAGAGACAGGCCAGAGGGAGACCAGAGAGACCAGAGAGACCAGAGAGAGAGACCAGAGAGACCAGAGAGAGACCAGAGAGAGGCCAGAGAGAGACCAGAGAGTGACCAGAGAGAGAGACCAGAGAGAGACCAGCGAGTGACCAGAGAGACCAGAGAGTGACCAGAGAGAGACCAGGGAGAGACCAGGGAGAGACCAGGGAGAGACCAGGGAGAGACCAGAGAGAGACCAGAGAGACCAGAGAGAGACCAGAGAGACCAGAGAGAGACTAGAGAGACCAGAGAGAGACCAGAGAGACCAGAGAGTGACCAGAGAGGAAAGAGATAAAAGAGAGAGAGACCAGAAAGAGGCCTCTCTCTTTCTGAGAGAGACCAGAGAGAGACCAGAGAGAGAGAGAAAGAGACCAGAGTGACCAAAGAGAGACAGAGAGAGAGGGGGTTATTAGAGAGGAATTCATAGCCACAGTTTCTCTCACTGCTCCGCCGAACGGAAGATTTCCTTTTTTCCTTCGGCTGACAATGTGCACTATCGTCAGTTAGCAACTTTTAAAAATGATTATGTGTTTGTGTGGATGGATGTGTTTCTGCTGCTGGACCCCTACAGTATCTATCTATCTTTCTACAGTATCTTTCTATAAGAACTAATACTGAAGACGATTACAACAGTGTTACCCCCAGTGTTGTCTAATTATAGAGCAGGGTGTTAGCATGCTAGTTATCATCTTGGCTCCCTGCTCTGAAAGATGTGGAAAGAGGTTATAAAGTAATCAGGATGAAGGATTAGTGTCAGCATGTATTTCAGTGAGTTAGAAACTTCAGGTCAGGACTGAGCGCTAAATACAGACCCCAAGGAGTTCCCAAAAAGATCAGGTTGCGTCTCACAGCGATGAACCATGGAGCTAATCGGTTTTCAGGAGCAAAAACATGGACATAGATCCACAAGTAAAGTGCCAAAGAAGACAGTGCTCAAGCTGAGGGTGAGTGAGCGTTTCTCCCAGAGGACATTACGTAAAATCCCTCTTCAACCCCTCCCTGGTCATTAGAAATCTGTCTTTCTTCCATCTTACAGACCAGGGAGAGATACAAAGTGAGGAATACATACAGTAGACAGATGTATTAGTACGGTTAACTGTGTAGTGTGGTTTAGCAGGCAACTGAAGGATTGTATCTTCACTCTTTTTAATACACTGTTATTATCTATGATTTTAATGTTTTTTTTTAGAACATGGGAGTCAAGCCGGTCCTCAAAAGATGTGGCTGCAGGTTTTAGTTCCAACCTGAGCAGAACACACCGGACTTCACCCATTTCCTCCGGTGAGTCCACTGAGCTAATGGGTGGTGCTCCTGCTCAGGTTAGACTCATAGACTGTAATTATTAACAGACATAGTGACGCCTATCTACGCCGTACAAACTAATGTGACATCACTTTTGCCTTCTATGGGCTTTTTCAAAATGACCACGGGGGCAGTAAAATGTGAAGAAAAAATGTCAACATACACCCATTCATTTAACAAGTGCCCATTCATTTAACAAGTGCCTTCTAAAGTCCACAGCGGCTAAACTAGACTGGTCCAAAAAGAAATGCTCCCCTCAGCACTGACACACATCTGGAACATAGCGCTGGACCAAGAGCGACTTTTGGACAATCCTGTAAAGCCGCTTTCGGGAGGAAAGAAGAGGCCATACAAAAGCATTGGGTAATTCTCTTTCCGGGTACACCCCCACCGTCTAGGAGTGAGATTGCAGCAAGCCAGCACACATGCTCACAGACCTTTTGGAGCCGGGACCCGCCCCCACTGGTTAGAACTGAAACTTGCAGCCACACAGGTCCTTTCCGGAACCGGTTTGACACCCCTGTTTTAGAATATTAAAAAAACAGTGGGGGAAAAAGTGAGAGAGCTCAGGGAGGGAGCTACTGACAGAGGGATCTGCTCCCACGGACAGGCAGGCTGCAGACCCAGGACTGAGGCTGTAGACCCAGGGCTGAGGCTGTAGACCCAGGGCTGAGGCTGTAGACCCAGGACTGAGGCTGTAGACCCAGGACTGAGGCTGTAGACCCAGGACTGAGGCTGTAGACCCAGGGCTGAGGCTGTAGACCCAGGGCTGAGACTGTAGACCCAGGGCTGAGACTGTAGACCCAGGGCTGAGACTGTAGACCCAGGGCTGAGACTGTAGACCCAGGGCTGAGACTGTAGACCCAGGGCTGAGACTGTAGACCCAGGGCTGAGACTGACTGTAGAACCAGGGCTGAGACTGTAGACCCAGGGCTGAGACTGACTGTAGACCCAGGGCTGAGACTGACTGTAGAACCAGGGCTGAGACTGTAGACCCAGGGCTGAGACTGACTGTAGAACCAGGGCTGAGACTGTAGACCCAGGGCTGAGGCTGTAGAACCAGGAGTGAGGCTGCAGATCCAGGACTGTTCATTTCATAGTATTTTTGATTTAGATTATGGAATAGTCTGAGCGTCTGCCAGCCACACACGCGTGCGCACGCGCACACGCACACGCGCACGCGCACACGCACACGCGCACACACACACACACACACACACACACACACTCTCTCTAATTACCTCTCCGACAGTCTTGGCAAAGCTCTGCAGCGTCGTGATCACCTCCTCGTCGCCTTTTCCGAGGGCAAAGTTCTAGAAAGAGACAGAAAAAGTAAATCCACAAAAATCCACCAGAAAAAAACAGAAGCGAGTGGCACGTCTCCAGCCCCCAAACGATCTGGCAGCGCCGAGCGGAGAGGAGCCAGAGACAAGAAGTTTCATCTCCACTATTGATGACACGGACTCCAACTCTCTAATGATACGCTGCAAAAACAGCAGGCGCTTCAAGCTGCGGTTCCTGACCAGACCAAACCAGACCAAACCGGATTTATGGTCTCTGTCACATCATTTGGCTGTTTCTTGTCTCTCCCTATCTGTGGTGTGTCTCTCTCTCTCGCTCTCTGGTCTCTCGCTCTCTGGTGGTCTCTCGCTCTCTGGTGGTCTCTCGCTCTCTGGTCTCTCGCTCTCTGGTCTCTCGCTCTCTGGTGGTCTCTCGCTCTCTGGTGGTCTCTCGCTCTCTGGTGGTCTCTCGCTCTCTGGTCTCTCGCTCTCTGGTCTCTCGCTCTCTGGTCTCTCGCTCTCTGGTCTCTCGCTCTCTGGTCTCTCGCTCTCTGGTCTCTCGCTCTCTGGTCTCTCGCTCTCTGGTCTCTCGCTCTCTGGTCTCTCGCTCTCTGGTCTCTCGCTCTCTGGTCTCTCGCTCTCTGGTCTCTCGCTCTCTGGTCTCTCGCTCTCTGGTCTCTCGCTCTCTGGTCTCTCGCTCTCTGGTCTCTCGCTCTCTGGTCTCTCGCTCTCTGGTCTCTGGTCTCTCGCTCTCTGGTCTCTCGCTCTCTGGTCTCTCGCTCTCTGGTGGTCTCTCGCTCTCTGGTGGTCTCTCGCTCTCTGGTGGTCTCTCGCTCTCTGGTGGTCTCTCGCTCTCTGGTGGTCTCTCGCTCTCTGGTGGTCTCTCGCTCTCTGGTGGTCTCTCGCTCTCTGGTGGTCTCTCGCTCTCTGGTGGTCTCTCGCTCTCTGGTGGTCTCTCGCTCTCTGGTCTCTCGCTCTCTGGTCTCTCGCTCTCTGGTCTCTCTCACTCTCTGGTCTCTCTCGCTAGTCTTTCTCACTGGTCTCTCTTTCTATACTCTCTCTGGTGGGGGATGACCACTTGCTGGTGAAAGCCAAATCCTGTCAGACCTCTGAAGCTAAGCAGGGCAGGGTCTGGTTAGAACTGTGATGGGAGACCTCTAACCCACATTAGAATGAGTCTAGTGTGTGTGTGAATGGTTGGTGGTGGTGGGAGGGGCAAAAGATGTGACAGGAGAAACAGTGATATTCCATGGTTCCATGGATGTGGTTTGAAAGTTCAGTACCCCAGCTTTAAACCAGTAGTTCTTGGTGGAGGTGCAACGGTTCATCACTGATCCGTTCGGATCAACGTCTTCGGTTCGGTACAGACGTGATCCGCGGTTTGATTTATGAAAAAAAAGTTATGCGCTCCCACTATGTTGTTCATTCACAGCGTGGTCTAGCCTGGCTCTGCCAGACACATGTAGTTCCTCCATGCTCCACCAGAGGTGTTTGGCTGAACCACATTGGTCTGGTATCGAGCGTATACCAAACTCCTTCTGCAGATCAGAAAATAATCGACCAATCAGGATCGCCGGTGTTACGTCGGGTTTGCACTGCCTTCTCGTGCGTGTCTGACACAGCAGCGAAAGGAATCCAAGATGGCGGACCGCAAAAAAAGTTTAAATACAACCGAAATACTATGTATTTTTCCAACAAAAGAAAGAGTGTTCTTCCAAATATCTATGTGGATGGTTTGATGATCAAAAATGTCCAAGAAATCAAGTACCTAGGTGTAGTGCTGAATCCTACCCTTAATTTTAAAAACCATGTTAAAAAGGTTTGCCGCGTTCTGAAATTTAACATCGCCAACTTCCAGCACATCAGGAGCTCTTTGTCATTGGAAGCGGCTAAATCATATCTTAATGCAATGATTATATCTCATATCATGTATTGTGTGTCTTCATGGTCTCAAGCTAAAACAACGGTTTTAAACCCCCTTAGATCGTTGTATAACCAGGCTTTGAAAGTCCTGGATAAAAAGCCTCGCCGGTACCATCACTGCAATATACTTGAAAAATACAGCATACTAAGCTTTGACAATCTGATTAGGTATTCCGATGTACGCTTGGTTCATAAGATTCTTAATGATACTGCCCCACCCCCCCTAAAAACATATGTACAGCTTCGCTCACAGCTAACCAACAGAGCATTAAGATCTGTGTCCAGGGGTGACTGCAATGTTCCTAAGAGAAAGTCTGCCTTCTCTCAATCAGCCTTTTCCTACAAAGCCACTAAAGAATGGAATGGGCTCCCAGACAATCTAAAGAACAATGCAGATTTCCACAGTTTTTCACGGGCAGTTAAAGACTGGCTTTTAGATCAACAGTCCTGCTCGCACTAAAAGTACCAGATGGATACTTGGCCATCAGGTGTTACCCTCGCGGGTATCGTCTGATGGCCACCACATCACCACATTATTAGTGTTAAAAACTATTGTATCTATGTGCTAAGTATGTATAGCTACTAAATAATTATGAAAACTGTTGCACTTTATCATTCTGCACTTTATGAACGCAACTGGCACTTTTCATCTGCACTTTTACTATATATTGCATGTTTATTGTCTATGTTTTGTATTGTAATTAACTCTGCTATGTATTTTAATTGTATTTTTGATTGTATAAGGACTACAGATGGAAATTAGCATTGTGCTAAATCTGGGGCAGCCATCTTTTTAATGTACCTGTCCGTTGTCCTTTTAAATAAATAACTAACTAACATTAAGACGCGGATGTCACTTTTAATGCAATTTGAGGCGAGATGTTGATGGTTCTATGTTGATATAAGTGTGCTTTAAGAGTCAAATGTTCCTGTAAAGTTTGGTTTAAGAACTGGGGCAGGTGTTTCTGTTACAACACTATGCAGCGGGGTTGCCAGGTTGGGTGGTTTCCCGCATACTTTTTCCAAGAGACTTGTAGGTAATAAATAAACAGAAAGACAAAAACAGAAAATTATGTAATCAACCAAGTTGATTGCATAAAGTTTTTAGCCCAAAAAAGTGTTTATTTTTTTTGGGCATTCTCGCGGATTTTGGGCTGGAAAATCTTGCCGGCATTTGGCAACCTATGGGAGTCATGTGCTTCGATGTGAGTGGTTGAAAGCAGACGTCATTCAAGAAAACGGACAAGTGGTTTATCCAATCACATACAAGGCCCTTTCTTCTGAAATCCAACTCCTATCAAGGAGTCCCAGACCAATGTGGCTCAGCCAACCTCCTCCTCCTCCTGAGAATCAGGTGGTTTAATATATGAGGGTAAATAACCTCATGAAGTGCCTTCTTATGCTGCACTTTGTGTTGTGTTTCATTAATTATGTTAAAAAGACATAATTGGATGGATGGAATATGCCTTCCAATCCATCCATCCATTTCCTTCCTCTTAATCCATTTCGAGGTGGGGGGGGGGGGGAGTCAGAGCTGCACCCAGTACACAGAGCCCACAGGAGCCTTGATTATTCAGTAGGGAAAATATGCCTTGTGCACTTTAAAATGATTTTATACATTTTAATTCACTAATAATAAAGTGTTTATAAAAAAAGACAAAAAAATAACTAGTTCTTGGATTAAAGAGCATTCGTTTTCAAACATTCCAACCTTTTTCTCGTAGTCCAGAAGCTGCTGAGAGAGCTGCTCCGTGGCCAATCCCATCTCACTCTGCACAAACAAAACACATTCAAATAAACTACTGAACAAAATACAATGCAAAAACAGATTTCATATTTAAAACTCTGTAAAAGTTTCACTCTTTCTTTAACAAATATTTTCAAATTCAATGCAATCACAAAACATGTTGAAGAATGTAACTAGGGACCAAAGAGAGAAACCAGAAAGAGGGACCAGAGAGAGTGAGTGAGACCAGAGAGAGAGACCAGAGAGAGAGACCAGAGGGAGAAACCAGAGAGAGAGACCAGAGAGAGAGACCAGAGAGAGAGACCACAGGGAGAGAGAGAGCAGAGAGAGAGACCAGAGGGAGAGACCAGAGAGAGAGAGCAGAGAGAGAGACCAGAGAGAGAGACCACAGGGAGAGACCACAGGGAGAGACCACAGGGAGAGACCACAGGGAGAGACCAGAGGGAGAGACCAGAGAGAGAGAGCAGAGAGCGAGACCAGAGAGAGAGACCACAGGGAGAGACCACAGGGAGAGACCAGAGAGAGAGAGAGAGAGCAGAGAGAGAGACCAGAGAGAGAGACCAGATAGATAGACCAGAGAGAGAGAGACCAGAGGGAGAGACCAGAGAGAGAGACCAGAGGGAGAGACCAGAGAGACCAGAGAGACCAGAGGGAGTGACCAGAGAGAGAGAGAGAGCAGAGAGAGCGAGCAGAGAGAGAGAGCATAGAGAGAGACCACAGGGAGAGACCACAGGGAGAGACCAGAGAGCAGAGAGAGAGACCAGAGGGAGAGACCAGAGAGCAGAGAGAGAGAGCAGAGAGAGAGACCAGAGGGAGAGACCAGAGGGAGAGACCAGAGAGAGAGACCAGAGAGAGAGACCAGAGAGAGAGACCAGAGGGAGAGACCAGAGAGCAGAGAGAGAGAGCAGAGAGAGAGACCAGAGGGAGAGACCAGAGGGAGAGACCAGAGAGAGAGACCAGAGAGAGAGACCAGAGGGAGAGACCAGAGAGAGAGACCAGAGGGAGAGACCAGAGAGCAGAGAGAGAGAGCAGAGAGAGAGACCAGAGGGAGAGACCAGAGGGAGAGACCAGAGAGAGAGACCAGAGAGAGAGACCAGAGAGAGAGACCACAGGGAGACCAGAGAGAGGGAGCAGAGAGAGAGAGCACAGGGAGAGACCACAGGGAGAGACCAGAGAGAGAGACCAGAGAGAGAGACCACAGGGAGAGACCAGAGAGAGAGCAGAGAGAGAGGGAGAGACCAGAGGGAGAGACCAGAAAGAGAGAGTAGAGAGAGAGACTAGAGAGAGAGACCACAGGGAGAGACCACAGGGAGAGACCAGAGAGAGAGACCAGAGGGAGAGACCACAGGGAGAGACCAGAGAGAGAGACCACAGGGTGACCAGAGAGGGAGCAGAGAGAGAGACCAGAAAGAGGGAGCAGAGAGAGAGAGAGCAGAGAGAGAGAGCAGAGAGAGAGATCAGAGATAGGGACCAGAGAGAGACCACAGGGAGAGACCACAGGGAGAGACCAGAGAGAGAGAGTAGAGAGAGAGACCAGAGAGAGGGAGCAGAGAGAGAGAGCACAGGGAGAGACCAGAGAGAGAGAGAGCAGAGTGGGCGGCACGGTGGCTGAGTGGATAGCACTTTCGCCTCTCAGCAAGAAGGTCCTGGGTTCGAATCCCGGTCGGACCAGGGCCTTTCTGAGTGGAGTTTGTATGTTCTCCCCGTGTCTGCGTAGGTTTCCTCCGGGTACTCCGGTTTCCCCTACCACTAAACATATGTACAATAGGACTGTGCATGCACCTCCTGTACTGGCCCCGCTCCCATCTCTGTGTGGAGTGAGAGGACAAATGCCCAAAAAAATAATAACAATTGTAAACCGCTTTGTGACCCTTGTCTGTGAAAGGCGGTATATAAATAAACATTACTTACTTACTTACTTACAGAGAGAGAGACCAGAGATAGGGACTAGAGAGAGACCAGAGAGAGACCAGAGAAAGATTAGAGAGTAATCAGAGAGAGGGACCCGATAGAGACCAGAGAAAGGCCAGAGAGAGACGAGACACCCAATTGACATCAGGTGGAGACCAGAGAGAGAGAAGATAATGAAAGAGAAAGAGACCAGAGAGGAAGACCAGGGAGAAACACCCAATAGAGATCAGATGGAGACCAGAAAGAGACACGAGAGAGACAAGAGAAAGAGAGAGACCAGAGAGAGAGAGACCAAAGTGTTTTTCAGATGTCCTGATGTCAGACGTTACATTAGAAGCAGTTTGGAGCCTCACCTGAGCTCCGAACACTCGCTGCATGGTCTGCAGCAGTTTGTTGGTGTAATCTGTCAGATTCAGAGCATCTTCTTCAAAGACACTGAGCAGAGAGCGGGTCTGCACACATCACACACATGGAAACTTTTGTTACACACTTTAAACTTTGCATACACACACTGGACTATTGGAATATATACAGCTACACCCCGACTGCGGAACATAAGATAAGATAGACAGACACTGTGTGAGATCGATCAATAAAGTAAGTAAGTCCGTCCGTCCGTCCGTCCGTCCGTCCTGGTCGTTGCATTTGTTGTTTGAAAAGTACTTTATAAATAACATTTGATTTGATGATTTCCAAAGGTTCTATCTACAGTGGGGAAATTTCAGTGTTGCATCACAAGTTACAGAACAGTAGGAATGAGGAGCGCACATCCATTTTCTTCCCCTTAATCCATTTCTGAGTCGGGGGGGGGGGGGGTGGCAGTCAGAGCAGCACCCAGTACACTTACATTGTAATTGTAATAATTCTATTTTAAATTGTATTCCTTAGAAGTCTGTGCTGATTTTGATTATGCCTTACTCAATTCTCTATTCTCTACCTCTCTTTTCTGACTGTTGCACTGAGCCAAAGCAATTTCTCAATCTGTGACTTCCTGTTACTTACTGTACGTGGCAATAAAAATGATTCTGATTCTCACACCAGCCTCTCACTGATCCTCCTGCAGGTGCCGAGTCCACAGGAGACGTGATCTTTTCAGCAGGGGCTTCAGGCAAAGTGGGGTTAACAGCAGACATCAGTGGGAGTCGTGAAGTGGGTCTCGTGGTGGGCTCGAACCCACGACCTTCAGGCTCCAAGGCTCTACCAACTGAGCTACTGTCGCCCCAGTGAATAAACAAATAGCTATCTTGAACATAACAATTATAAAGAAGTATATAGTTTTAAATTTGGGAAAAAAAAAGTACAATGATTTCTAGTGCAAGCAATGTGTAGTTATATGTTAGCATCTGTACATGAGCTCTGATATAATGTAAATAACATTTATTTGAGTAAATGAAGCGTAGAATCACAATCAAAGTCAAAAACACGGTGCGACATGTTTTCCACAGTTGTTATAATTACTGTCACTAATTTGGAAACATTGATTATACTAAACGTTCAGTTGGAAGAGACGACAGCTTCAGACTCGTCAGATTGTTTGAACAGAGAATAACTCATTAAAACCTGTGACAATTGATTATGAGAAGAAAAGCTGCAGACTCAGAACAAAGACGGAGACAGACAGGGCTTCGGTCCGAGTCTGAGGAGGACGTCAACAAACACCAGAGAGATAGTGTCCTTCAGCTGTACTCGGATATTAGAGCTTCTCATTCTCAAGTCAGAAATGTCCTGAACTTTACAGAGATAAGAGAGAACCAGTGACCATGGCCACAGCAGGGAAATGCCAGTGTTGCAGCACATCACAGAGAGCAGGAGTCTATGGTGTACACTGAAAAAGTCAAAAATTGCTCAAATTTTGCAAAATGGTTCTTAATCTGAGCACGTTCTGACTGATTTGCCAAAAGGAAAAGAACAATGATCTCGTTTTAAAAAGATACAAGAAATGTTTCCCTTGGAATGAGAAAAAAAAGGAGAATCTTGTTTTAACACAATCAGAATGAGCTCAGATAAAGATAAAAAATATATATATTTAAGCAATTATTACCTCATCTTTGATCAGTTTTTGCAGTGCGCTCCATATTATTGCATATTTAAAGCTGGAGATCCTCACTTTTTTGTTTCATAAATATACATGTTGTTTGAACAGTGTGTCAACAGAAAGATTCTTGTTTTTACAAATTCTGACCCTTCACGGTGTCTTCCTGTTATAAAACATGATGTGTGTCTTTTACACAGAGCGGTGCCACAAATCAGAAAGATATAAACATCACAATCACAATTGAAAGACAACAATCATGTGGCAGAAACAGTTCTCTTTACTCATGGACAGTGGTCGTCCCGCTCTCTCTGGACCAACGGCTCCATGCGTTTGTTATCATCGCCTTTCCTGTGTTTGAACTTTTCGATTCTCTGATTTGTTGTTGCTGAATCCACAACTTTGTAAAGTCCTCAGAGACGACCGCTGTTGTGAAGTAGGCCACAAGTGTGAAAACTATATACTGTAAGTGAAGGAATCAAACTAGATTATTGCACTGTAGTAGAAACCAGAGGACTGAGACTGGGTTTAAATCAAAGCTTCGTGGTGAGGAACAGATCCAAGTTTGGATATTAGTTGTATTAGAATGACATGTTCTAATAATATGGCTGTAATGTTATTTCAAACTCTCACTTTTCTCTGACAACAGCTGCTGTTTACACATGCAGAATTAGCTCCGCCTCCTCATTTGGAAATCAAATAGATCTTTGCATAAGTTGTACTGGTTTGGAAAGGATTGGGACATTTCAGACTCCAACGTTACTGATTTAAGATTCATGAATTGGCTTGTGCAGATTACACGTTTATAAGATAGACAAGGATAATGGTTTCAATTAAATACATTCACAAAATCAATCGCTATTACATTTAGTTAGTAAGAAATGGAAAGACGACTCGTGAAACCAATAAAGCGCATTTAAGAAATACAGTGACTTGCGAAAGTATTCGGCCCCCTTGAACCTTTCAACATTTTGCCACATTTCAGGCTTCAAACATAAAGATATAAAAATTACATTTTTTGTCAAGAATCAACAACAAGTGGGACACAATCGTGAAGTGGAACAAAATGTATTGGATAATTTAAACTTTTTTAACAAATAAAAAACTGAAAAGTGGGGCGTGCAATATTATTCGGCCCCTTGCGCTAATACTTTGTAGCGCCACCGTTTGCTGCAATTACAGCTGCAAGTCGCTTGGGGAATGTCTATCAGTTTTGCACATCGAGAGACTGGAATTCTTGCCCATTCTTCCTTACAAAACAGCTCGAGCTCAGTGAGGTTGGATGGAGAGCGTTTGTGAACAGCAGTCTTCACTCTTTCCACAGATTCTCGATTGGATTCAGGTCTGGACTTTGACTTGGCCATTCTAACACCTGGATACGTCTATTTGTGAACCATTCCATTGTAGATTTGGCTTTATGTTTTGGATCATTGTCCTGTTGGAAGATAAATCTCCGTCCCAGTCTCAGGTCTTTTGCAGACTCCAACAGGTTTTCTTCCAGAATGGTCCTGTATTTGCTCCATCCATCTTCCCATCAATTTTAGCCATCTTCCCTGTCCCTGCTGAAGAAAAGCAGGCCCAAAGCATGATGCTGCCACCACCATGTTTGACAGTGGGGATGGTGTGTTCAGGGTGATGAGCTGTGTTGCTTTTACGCCAAACATATCGTTTTGCATTGTGGCCAAAAAGTTTGATTTTGGTTTCATCTGACCAGAGCACCTTCTTCCACATGTTTGGTGTGTCTCCCAGGTGGCTTGTGGCAAACTTTAAACTAGACTTTTTATGGATATCTTTGAGAAATGGCTTTCTTCTTGCCACTCTTCCATAAAGGCCAGATTTGTGCAGTGCACGACTGATTGTTGTCCTATGGACAGACTCTCCCACCTCAGCTGTAGTTATCTGCAGTTCATCCAGAGTGATCATGGGCCTCTTGGCTGCATCTCTGATCAGTCTTCTCCTTGTTTGAGATGAAAGTTTGGAGGGAATTGCTTGCACAGTGCTCCTTGAGATGTTTAAAGCTTGGGAAATCTTTTTGTATCCAGATCCGGCTTCAAACTTCTCCACAACAGTATCTCGGACCTGCCTGGTGTGTTCCTTTGTCTTCATGGTTCTCTCTGCGCTTTAAACAGAACCCTGAGACTATCAAAGAGCAGGTGCATTTATACGGAGACTTGATTACACACAGGTGCATTCTATTTATCATCATCAGTCATTTAGGACAACATTGGATCATTCAAAGATCCTCACTGAACTTCTGGACTGAGTTTGCTGCACTGAAAGTAAAGGGGCCGAATAATATTGCACGCCCCACTTTTCAGTTTTTTATTTGTTAAAAAAGTTTAAATTATCCAATAAATTTTGTTCCACTTCACGATTGTGTCCCACTTGTTGTTGATTCATGACAAAAAATTAAAATTTAATATCTTTATGTTTGAAGCCTGAAATGTGGCGAAATGTTATAAAGGGGGCCGAATACTTTCGCAAGGCACTGTAGATATCAGAGAGATACACCAGAGAGAGAGACCTGTCAAAGACCAGAGAGAGACCAAAGAGAGACCCAAGAGAGATCAGGGAGAGAAAGACCATAAGCCCAGAGAGAGCCCAGAGAGAGACCAGAGAGATAGACCAGGGAGAGACTCCACTTCCTGCTCCGACCGGGTCTTCGCTAGAGCACTAACCTCTGTTTGTGTCTAAATATACAGTAACTTGTCATACAACAGTTGGACACTTAGACTTCTGTTCTGCCTCCACAAACAACTACCCTTTGGACAATATGTGTACATTAATGATTGTGTGTGCAGAAGGTTGTATGTGTGTGTACAGAAGGTTGTGTGTGTGCGCGGAAGAGCTTCTCAAATATGCTTTTCTGAGATGTAATCCTTGAACAAATGAACCAATGAGGCACCTGCAGCCTCACTATTGGCCCCTATAGATCAAAAGTCTGATAATAATGTTTACGAATAAATACACATCCCAATTGCCCTGTTTCCACCAGCCCTACTCAGCTTTACCCAAGAGGGACTACAGAAGGACCTGGTACAGGTTGAACAGGGCCAGAGGAACACTCCCAATCACGTAAGAGTGAAGTACAGAAAATAATTATGCATTTATTTTTAAGGATGGATGTGTTTCTGCTGCTGGACAACTGCATTTCTTTAATGAGGATCTACCTAAATATCTATTCATTTATCTACCTGTCTATCAACCTAGAGTAGAGTAAAGTACGGGCGGCAAAGTGGCTGAATGGATAGCATTTTCCCTTCTCAGCAAGAAGGTCCTGGGTTCGGAACAGGACCATTGAATATTCTCCCTGTCTGCTTAGGTTTTCTCCTGGTGCTCCAGTTTCACCTACCACTGAAAACATGTATGATAGGTCTGACATGTGCCTCCTGTATATGACAACGTCACTCCCATTTCTGTGCGGAGTGAGAAACTAAAAAAAAAAAAACGCTTTGGGAATAATGATAAAGAGAACTTAGAGTAGAGTAGAATAGAGTAGAGTAGAATAGAGTAGAGTAGAATAGAGTAGAGTAGGGCAAATGTCATTCAACTCAAGATCATTGGGGAATAATGAGGATTGTGCAATGACTCTTCCAGAGATAAGTCTGGTGATTTCTTTGCATGTTGTAGATAAGTGTATGTCTGTGTTATAAGCCAACTATTATTTAATATGCACTAAACAAACCTGCTGCTATCAAATACACTGAACACATTATTGGGAATCAGCTGCTGTTTATTTAGCAACCCACTCAGGACATAATAATACTGGTAGCAAGAAGCAACCACTCCCACATCCAGGCCCTGCTCAGTTCACATGCAAAGCTTTCACCCTGTGTTTCTGTTTGACCCATTTCATCAATAAAACCACGATTATTAGACATGTTTAAATGATTAGATCCATGGCTCTTGCATCATCCATTGTAATGCATTTCTCACCTTTGTTGTGACCAGACACTAGCTTAAGACTCATGTGCGCAGCTAGCAATGTAAACAACAGCCTGACAAGCTAATCATCAAATAGCAATGTGGATATTGAATTCTGCAAAAACCTGAGCTTTATTCTGAGGCTGTAAATGTTGACATATGGTATTCCCGTTGCACTGTGTCACTGGACATCTGTCATCGGCCAGTGGAAACAGAAACAGGGAGGATAGAACTAGCTTGAGCGCTGTCATCTCTCTTCGTAATATGGTTTTATTTGGCTAAAAATTAGTTTAAAACAGCTGAAATAAGCTCGAGTTTACCTGCGGGCTGTCGTGCAAGGCGTCCTCCAGGAGCAGTTTGTGATGTACGGCCGGCATCTTGTTAGCAGTGGAGGAGAAGGGGCACGGGAGTCTGAAGTATTCGCCGCTTGGACTCAGTTTCCCAGAAGGCAGCGCGCTCAGGTTGGGGGCGGAACCAGGCTGAGCTCATTCTAAAATAAACAAAAATAAAATAAACAAAGTAATTGTGGGTGAGATATTTCGTAACAGTAGATGTATAATTAAACACATATGTTTCATTATTTTATTTTAAACACTAGAACTCGAGCAGTCAACTTGACAGGTTTTTTTGTTTGTTTTTTCGATTTGGAAGTGTAATTATTCTGCTTGTGTACGTTTTTGCTCTTCATCACTTTTTCTAAATCAAAATGTAGTTTTTAGTGATAGTGCTAGTTACCATGGCAACACACTGTTTAGTGTTATATTCAATTTATGTTAACCAGTTGTAATGTGTATTTAAAGATAAAAGCCAAAATGCCAATACTTACAACTAATTAATAATAGTGAAAACCTAAAGCCACAACTTCGTTCCAACAAAACCAGTGGCAGTGCATTCGAGGTACAACACTGCCCCCGTGTGGTCAAGACGAGTATGTCTTATCCAGGTTTTCGATCAGGGCCGCAGATAAACTTATGTTCATTTTTTATCGTTTTTTTCTACTTCTCCTAAAACAGCATTTACGTGGGGTCTATTCTACTCTACCCTACTCTACAATACTGTACACTACTCTACTCTTCTCTACACTACTGTGCTCCACTCAACTCTACTCTACTCTACTCTACTCTACTCTACACTACTGTACACTACTCTACTCTACACTACTGTACACTACTCTACTCTACACTACTCTACTCTACTCTACTCTACTGTACTGTACATTACTCTACGAGAAGAGTAGAGTAGAATGGGGCAGAGCAGAGTAGAGTAGAGTAAGGTAGAGTAGAGTAGAGTATAGACTAGAATAGAGTAGAGTAGAGTATAGACTAGAATAGAATAGAGTAGATTAGAGTAGAGTAGAGTAGAGTAATGTAGAGTGGAGTAGAGAAAAGTACGGTTGGTGGAAATGCCGGATTCAAACGTTTTGTTATAATCCAGGTCTGGACCACAGACTGTTGTAGTTCGTACAAAACAATATGTTCTGGACAAATGAACGTGGATCAGACACACGCAGAGCACAGTATCGTTACATCACAGAAATAATGGCAGCTTTTATCCTCTCGCTGCCAAACTAAATTACACTCAGACAATTATCAAATCCTGAAATAACAAAGTTCTTTATGCAACAAACAAAAACTACGGCTTTTGACGAATACCACAAAGAAAACGTGGACGATACATGGTTTGCTTAGTGCCACTTGGATTGGGTTTTGATTTTTAGATCCAACGAAACTGTGAAATCTCAAAAAAATAATAGACACAAAATAGGAGAGCACTGCCCTCCACTCATAATGATGACTTCTGCTGCAGGTCTGGGTCTTCAGCCTCAGTCCTGGGTCTTCAGCCTCAGTCCTGGATCTACAGCCTCAGTCCTGGGTCTACAGCCTCAGTCCTGGATCTACAGCCTCAGTCCTGGATCTACAGCCTCAGTCCTGGATCTACAGCCCCAGTCCTGGATCTACAGCCTCAGTCCTGGATCTACAGCCCCAGTCCTGGATCTACAGCCTCAGTCCTGGATCTACAGCCTCAGTCCTGGATCTACAGCCTCAGTCCTGGATCTACAGCCCCAGTCCTGGATCTACAGCCTCAGTCCTGGATCTACAGCCCCAGTCCTGGATCTACAGCCTCAGTCCTGGATCTACAGCCCCAGTCCTGGATCTACAGCCTCTTACCACTATAGGTTTTTGAGTGGTTTCTTGCCAGTGCAGGAGGGTCTAACAGTATCTTTTCTAGACAGTGTCATGCTTCTGCCTATGGACGAACAGCTTCTATGTGTTTGTTATTATTGCAGTCCCTGTGTTCCGCAGAGTCCCAGCAGGAGGCTACACTGTTCAAAACCACTTTTCAGGAATAATCAATATCAATATCAATGTCTATCTTTCTGTGTCCCTCACTCTCTCTCTCTCTCTGGTACAGTATATACTGTATGTATCTCTCTGTCTGTGTGTCTCTCTCTCTCTCTCTCTGTCTCTCTCTGGTATCTCTCTATCTCTCTTTCTGTTTGTCTCTCTCTCTCTCTCTGTCTCTCTCTGGTATCTCTCTATCTCTCTTTATGTCTGTGTCTCTCTCTCTCTCTGGTATATCTCTCTGTTTCTCTGTCTGTGTGTCTCTCTCTGGTATCTTCCTCTCTCTCTCTCTCTCTCTCTCTCTCTCTCTCTCTCTCTCTCTCGCTCTGTCTCTCTCTCTGGTCTCTCTCTCCTTCAAAGCGCTGCTTAGTGTCCCTGTAGATCAGAGCAGAACAAAAGAGTCTTTGAGCGGACTCTCTGCTCTCTGGCTCCAGACGTAAGAATCTTCTTCTCACCTTTGTCCTCAGCAGACCTCAGACCTCAGACCCACACTGTCCCTCAGGGCCCTGGAGGAACACTACCTCATCACATTGTTTTCTAGCAAAAACAAGAAACCCTTCATGCTTATTGTGGTGTTAAAGCTGGAGCAATTAAATTAGCATTAAAAGTGCAGTAACTAAATACTCTCTTTATCAAAGTCAAATGTAGTAGAGAGACCAGAGAGAGACCAGAGAGAGACCAGAGAGAGATCAGAGAGAGACCAGAGAGAGACCGGAGAGAGACCAGAGAGAGCCCAGAAAGAAACCAGAGAGAGACCAGAGAGAGATCAGAGAGAGACCAGAAAGAAACCAGAGAGAGACCAGAGAGAGACCAGAGAGAGATCAGAGAGAGATCAGAGAGAGATCAGAGAGAGACCGGAGAGAGACCAGAGAGAGACCAGAGAGAGATTAGAGAGACATCAGAGAGAGACCGGAGAGAGACCAGAGAGAGACCAGAGAGAGATTAGAGAGACATCAGAGAGAGATTAGAGAGCCATCAGAGAGAGATCAGAGAGAGACCTGAAAGAAACCAGAGAGAGACCAGAGAGAGACCAGAGAGAGATCAGAGAGATTAGAGAGACATCAGAGAGAGATCCGAGAGAGACCAGAGAGAGACCAGAGAGAGATCAGAGAGAGACCAGAAAGAGACCAGAGAGAGACCAGAGAGAGACCAGAGAGAGATCAGAGAGATTAGAGAGACATCAGAGAGAGATCAGAGAGAGACCAGAGAGAGACCAGAGAGAGACCAGAGAGAGACCAGAGAGAGATTAGAGAGACATCAGAGAGAGATCAGAGAGAGACCGGAGAAAGACCGGAGGGAGACCAGAGAGAGATTAGAGAGAGACCAGAAAGAGACCAGAGAGAAAGTTTAAACAATGTATAAACAATCTTTTTTTACCGGAGTAATCTAGTATTAGTATTATTTTAAGAGCAGTAGTAATCTAAAAACAGCACACAGGAAGTATTCACCGCAAAATAGGCAGAAAAAGTTTGAAATTCACCAAATAATCAGAGGAATCCATGCATGAGTCCAACTGGAGAGACGGCGTTGGCCTGAGGCAGAGTCACGAGGCCCAGCAGCAGCAGGATCAATGCATGTGTTCAAGGCTGGCTCTATCCATCTCTCAGGACGCAAAATTATACATATATAACATTTAGGAAACAATCAGATGTTTGTCCCCTTCCTCCTCCTCAGAAAGTCCAGTTGAGACCGGAAGTAAGCTTTCTCTGACACAGCGTTCATGGTCTGACTCGGATCCAGACCGGAGCAGAGAGGATTCATGGTTCGAACCAGGCAGATCAAGCGTAAATCCACTGAGTAATGGTATTTAAAAAAAGAAAAATGCTAATAAAGGGTTCAGCTTTTCAAGAGTGTCCTGGACAAGAGAATGAAACATGAATTAACCCTTTAGGCGCCACAGTAGTCGACTTGTTTCACAGGGTTCTTAATCCAGAACACTTTCGATACAGCAACCTTGCTTCCCACGGTCGTCTCTCTACATTTTTCGTACATGATATTTTTTCTATGTGTTTCCAGTATTGATTATTGTGGTCCTTAATCTTTTGTTAAGTTACAGGGCATCACTTTCTGTCTTTTTTTTAACAATCCTAAAGGGTTAACAACATAAAGAATTACAAGCTAAAATAAAGGCCCAAAGATTGAGATAACACATGAAAGCAAAACACATCAAATTGAACCAATAAAACACTAAAAACAAGACAAATTTCAAATAAAACAAGTACAAAGAGCAGACTGTTCGTCCAAAACATTCATCCGTCTCTGAGATGAGTTCAGGGACGTTTTGTTTGCAGCAGATTCTTTGCAAAAGGTAAAAAAACAAAAAGCCATTTTCCTAGTTCCGTCCTAACTCTGGAAACGGCCAGAATCAGGACCTTCTGAGAGCTCAGGGAAGAAAAGGGAAAATGGTCTGGGTCAAGCGGCTACACCACCTCTGCTGCTGTGACGGGTTCTGCTCCACCCAGAGGCTACTCCACCTCTGCTGCTGTGACGGGTTCTGCTCCACCCAGAGGCTACTCCACCTCTGCTGCTGTGACGGGTTCTGCTCCACCCAGAGGCTACTCCACCTCTGCTGCTGTGACGGGTTCTGCTCCACCCAGAGGCTACTCCACCTCTGCTGCTGTGACAGGTCCTGCTCCACCCAGAGGCTACACCACCTCTGCTGCTGTGACAGGTCCTGCTCCACCCAGAGGCTACACCACCTCTGCTGCTGTGACAGGTCCTGCTCCACCCAGAGGCTACTCCACCTCTGCTGCTATGACAGGTCCTGCTCCACCCAGAGGCTACTCCACCTCTGCTGCTGTGACCCGTCCTGCTCCACCCAGAGGCTACTCCACCTCTGCTGCTGTGACGGGTTCTGCTCCACCCAGAGGCTACTCCACCTCTGCTGCTGTGACAGGTCCTGCTCCACCCAGAGGCTACACCACCTCTGCTGCTGTGACAGGTCCTGCTCCACCCAGAGGCTACTCCACCTCTGCTGCTATGACAGGTCCTGCTCCACCCAGAGGCTACTCCACCTCTGCTGCTATGACAGGTCCTGCCCACCCAGAGGCTACTCCACCTCTGCTGCTGTGACCCGTCCTGCTCCACCCAGAGGCTACTCCACCTCTGCTGCTGTGACGGGTTCTGCTCCACCCAGAGGCTACTCCACCTCTGCTGCTATGACCCGTCCTGCTCCACCCAGAGGCTACTCCACCTCTGCTGCTGTGACCCGTCCTGCTCCACCCAGAGGCTACTCCACCTCTGCTGCTGTGACTCGTCCTGCTCCACCCAGAGGCTACTCCACCTCTGCTGCTGTGACGGGTTCTGCTCCACCCAGAGGCTACTCCACCTCTGCTGCTGTGACGGGTTCTGCTCCACCCAGAGGCTACTCCACCTCTGCTGCTGTGACCCGTCCTGCTCCACCCAGAGGCTACACCACTTCTGCTGCTGTGACAGGTCCTGCTCCACCCAGAGGCTACTCCACCTCTGCTGCTGTGACGGGTTCTGCTCCACCCAGAGGCTACACCACCTCTGCTGCTGTGACCCGTCCTGCTCCACCCAGAGGCTACACCACCTCTGCTGCTGTGACCCGTCCTGCTCCACCCAGATGCTACTCCACCTCTGCTGCTGTGACCCGTCCTACTCCACCCAGAGACTACACCACCTCTGCTGCTGTGACTTGTCCTACTCCACCCAGAGGCTACTCAACCTCTGCTGTTGTAACCCATCCTGCTCCACTCAGAGGCTACACCACCTCTGCTGCTGTGACGGATTCCGCTCCACCCAGAGGCTACTCCACCTCTGCTGCTGTGACCCGTCCTGCTCCACCCAGAGGCTACACCACCTCTGCTGCTGTGACCCCTCCTGCTCCACCCAGAGGCTACTCCACCTCTGCTGCTGTGACCCGTCCTGCTCCACCCAGAGGCTACACCACCTCTGCTGCTGTGACGGATTCCGCTCCACCCAGAGGCTACTCCACCTCTACTGCTGTGACCCGTCCTGCTCCACCCAGAGGCTACACCACCTCTGCTGCTGTGACCCCTCCTGCTCCACCCAGAGGCTACTCCACCTCTGCTGCTGTGACCCGTCCTGCTCCACCCAGAGGCTACACCACCTCTGCTGCTGTGACGGATTCCGCTCCACCCAGAGGCTACTCCACCTCTACTGCTGTGACCCGTCCTGCTCCACCCAGAGGCTACACCACCTCTGCTGCTGTGACGCAAAGTGCTGCTGCCTTTTAATACTATTTGAAGAATAATAATTCAGACGAAAGACATGTTTTATTGTCGATGGTAGATGAGCAATCCACTGCCGCCCAACTCCCCGTTGGGCGGCAGTGGGTTCTCCCCGTTGGGTTCTCCCCGTGTCTGCGTAGGTTCCCTCCGGGTACTCCGGTTTCCCCTACCACTAAAAACATGTACAATAGGTCTGGCATGCGCCTCCTGTTCGGCGACCCCGCTCCCATCTCTGTGTGGAGTGAGAGACAAGTGCCCAAAAAATAACAATTGTAAACCGCTTTGTGACTCTGGTCTGTGAAAGGCGGTATATAAATAAAGATTACTTACTTACTTAGCACAAATAAAGAGGTTACAGAATGCATGTGATTTTATACAGGAAGAATCATAGACCGTCCAATCAGCATTCGCCAACGAAAAAACATGTAGTGGAAAAGTACTGCCTTGTGCATGTTGTTTATGATGAGTTTAACTTTAACCACAGTTGCTTCAAAGTGTCAAGAAATCTCTAAATGTTGTTGCTACTTTTCAATCTATCTGTTTTGTTTGTTTGTTGTTTCTGCTGCTACTGAACACCTGCATTTCTCCTACAAGGATCAATAAAGTATCTATCTGTCTGGTTCTACAGCCTCAGTCCTGGGTCTACAGCCTCAGTCCTGGATCTACAGCCTCAGTCCTGGATCTCACTCCTGGGTCTACAGCCTCAGTCCTGGATCTCAGTCCTGGATCTCACTGCTGGGTCTACAGCCTCACTCCTGGGTCTACAGCCTCAGTCCTGGATCTACAGCCTCAGTCCTGGATCTCACTCCTGGGTCTACAGCCTCAGTCATGGATCTCACTCCTGGGTCTACAGCCTCAGTCCTGGGTCTACAGCCTCAGTCCTGGATCTACAGCCTCAGTCCTGGATCTACAGCCTCAGTCCTGGATCTCACTCCTGGGTCTACAGCCTCAGTCCTGGATCTCAGTCCTGGATCTCACTCCTGGGTCTACAGCCTCAGTCCTGGGTCTACAACCTCAGTCCTGGATCTACAGCCTCAGTCCTGGATCTACAGCCTCAGTCCTGGGTCTACAGCCTCAGTCCTGGACCAATGACTCCTATGTGTCTGATTCTCTGATCTACTGTTGATGAATCCACAACTTTGTAAAGTCCTCAGAGACGACTGCTGTTGTGATATTTAGGGCGATAACAAAAACATTGAATTGTACAAATCTTATACATATCTTATTCTTGATCATTCCGGTTTCATATCTTTATACATGGTCAGGTGTCAAAAGCTGGAGGGGGAGCTTGGAGTAGAGCCGCTGTTCCTGTTCCATGTCGGAGCTGGGGACCAGGACCAGCTGGGGATTCTCCTGGTCTAGGATCGTCCGGTTTCTCTGCTCAGACGCCTTCACGATTGGCTCCGGGAATTGTGAACAAATTGCTGTGAACATTTGTGGTTTTGATAATCAGACTGAAGCGAGTGTGTTAAAGCTCGGGCACCTGAATCTCAAACTACAAACATGTTTTTATCTATGTTTAGGTTAAAAGATCAAAGGTTATGAGATGTGATTTTTACTCGCTCTCAAAACGGGTTGATTCTATCACTGGTTTTTAACATGCTTGTAAGAGAGGGACCAGAGAGAGACCAGAGAGAGACCAGAGAGAGACCAGAGAGAGAGACCAGAGAGAGAGACCAGAGAGAGAGACCAGAGAGAGAGACCAGAGAGAGAGCCAGAGAGAGAGAGACCAGAGAGAGAGACCAGAGAGAGAGACCAGAGAGAGAGACCAGAGAGAGAGAGACCAGAGAGAGAGACCAGAGAGAGAGACCAGAGAGAGACCAGAGAGAGAGACCAGAGAGAGAGACCAGAGAGAGAGACCAGAGAGAGAGACCAGAGAGAGAGACCAGAGAGAGAGAGACCAGAGAGAGAGACCAGAGAGAGAGACCAGAGAGAGAGACTAGAGAGAGACTAGAGAGAGACCAGGGAGAGAGACTAGAGAGAGACCAGAGAGAAACCAGAGAGAGACCAGAGAGAGAGACTAGAGAGAGACAAGGAAGAGACAAGGAAGAGACCAGAGAGAGAGACTAGAGAGAGACTAGAGAGAAACCAGAGAGGGAGACCAGAGAGGGAGACCAGGGAGAGACCAGAGAGAGAGAGACTAGAGAGAGACCAGAGAGAGACAAGAGAGAGACCAGAAAGAGACAAGAGAGAGACCAGAGAGAGACCAGAGAGAGACTATAGAAAGAGAGACCAGAGAGGGAGACCAGGGAGAGACCAGAGAGAGAGAGACTAGAGAGAGACCAGAGAGAGACCAGAAAGAGACCAGAGAGAGGCCAGAGAGAGACCAGTGTGAGACCAGAGAAAAACCAGACAGACTAGATAGAGACCATTAAGAAAGACCAGAGAGAGACCAGAGAGAAACCAGAGAGACCAGAAAGAGAGACCAGATAAAGTGACCAGAGAGAGGGACCAGAAAGAGAGACCAGAGAGAGATCAGAGCGAGACTAGAGAGAGACCAGAGAAAGACCAGAAAAAGACTTCTGGAAGAGACCAGAGAGAGACCAGACAGGTTCTATCACTCGTTTTCATATGCATGTAATTCAGGCTTCTGTCACTTCTTTTGAGACAGAAAAGTGAAACAGAGAGGACCACCCTCACTCGGCCAATCAGCTCTGCGCCCAAAGAGTCAAACAATGACTCACAGGGCTCTTCCTCACACAAAAGATAACAAGTGTTTCTGTTATAAAGACAGCATGTGGTGGTTCACTACTTTATGGACTGCCACAGCTGTTTACAGGACATACAATCTTACATACCCCAGCTTTAAATAGAGGTGCATAATGATTCAAGGCCTGCACTAAAGTACGATCAATCACAGAACTCAATCCCGTCCACTTTCACTTTCACATTTTGAACCGGAGCTGCTGATTGGCTGCCCCTTCCCCCTCCCGCCACCTCGTCTCCCCTCGTTTCCCGGGCAACTGTGTCACAGGGAGGAGAAAAGAGCAAATCATGTGAGTCCCAGCATCACCCCCTCCTTCCTCCCTCCTGTGACTCCCCCCCTCTCTCTACCTCTGTCTTTCTCTCTCCCCCCCCCCCCCTCTCTCTCTCTCCCCCCCTCCCTCTCTCTCTCTCTCTCCCCTTGTAAATGTGTTTATCTGCTCTGCCTTCTCTCCTCTCCCTTCACACTCTCTCTCTCTCTCTCTCTGTGCAACAACACAGGCTCCAGCAGAACACAAGGAGAATCCCTCCGTCTCCTCTGCTACTCTGTCTGACTCCCTTCTGCCCCTGACAGACCCGACCGGACCGGAGCGACCTGGGATCCCCCCCTTCCTCCTCAGCAGAGACCCCAGCTTTGACAGTGGCTGCTTCGAGGCGGAATGGGTTGTGGCAACTCCTCAGCCACCAGCACCACGGGAGGCGGTGAGACGATGGTCCAGTTATTCTAATGCAAGCTGTGTGTGTGTGTGTGTGTGTGTGTGTGAAACTGTGTGTGTGTGTGTGTGTGTTAAACTGTACGTGTTGGAGTCAATATGGAGGCTTTGAAGTGGGAGAAGATGAGTGAGAGAAGCTGAGGTGGTGTAGAGAATTTAAATTAGTGTGTGAGAGAGAGAGATAGGTCCACCCCTTGATTTCATCCGTGTCATCACAAATGGCCTGGAATGCTTTTGATTTGAGAGAGAACTGAGAGAGAGAGAGACCAGAGAGAGATCAGTGATAATTCAGAGAGAGACCAGAGAGAGAGACCAGAGAGAGAGACCAGAGCGAGAGACAAGATAGAGACCAGAGAGAGACCAGAGAGAGATCAAAGAGAGCGACCAGAGAGAGAGACAAGATAGAGACCAGAGAGAGAGAACAGAGAGCGAGCAGAGAGAGACCAGAGAGAGACCAGAGAGAGAGAGAGAGACCAGAGAGAGAGAACAGAGAGAGATCAAAGAGAGCGACCAGAGAGAGACCAGAGAGAGAGAACAGGGAGAGAGACAAGATAGAGACCAGAGAGAGACCAGAGAGAGAGAACAGAGAGAGATCAAAGAGAGCGACCAGAGAGAAAAAACAGAGAGAGAGAGAGAGAGAGAGAGACCAGAGAGAAACCAAAGAGACTAGAGAGAGAGAACAGAGAGAATGCCTGGAATGTTTTTGATTCATGTAAATGTCAAAGAGTCAAACTAGTGATAGATTTTGGAAAGCGATTGATGCTTTGTCCAGTTTTTTCGTCACCTGTTGAGAAATATTTTTGTTTTTCATTATAGAACGACACGACCATCCATCTCCCTGACCCTCACAACACATTTCCTCACCTTGCGTTACCTTTCATTGCCTGTCTTTCTTAGAAATGTATCAGCAATGTAACGAGTGCACAGAACTGAGCACAAACTAAAGCCTGAAAGTGTTGTAGCATCTTGCAGAAAAAAGCACTTTAGAAAAATGCCTGTGTTTTCCTCAGTGGATGTGAGAAAGAGTGTTATGCTAGTTCAGCCATTTCTTGACAAAGAGTCAGAGGATGGAGGGAGAGAGAGCGGAGGTGAAGGACACTGGAGGGAGCTGAAGTGAGAGAGAGTGGAGGGGAAGGACACTGTAGGGTGTTATGTGGAGCTGCCATGCAGACCTGTTCCAGTTCCAGGATCCACTTCCAGGATTTCCAGCCTGCATCATGTTCCCTGCTGTTAATAAATTATATTAACTTTTAGTAACCTGTTGTCCTTCATGTTGCACCTGTAGAGCCAGGGTGTAACATATTGGGGGCTCGTCTCTTGGTTGAGCCTTGTAAGTTTTTGTTCATCCATCTCAGTTGATTCAGTTTGGGGTAAGTTTGTGTGGAAGGGCTGCCAGATTAGGCTCTCCTTTTTGTTGCTGAGTGGTTAGTTGGTCTCCCTGGTCAGACTAAGGAGGGATTCTTCAATCTAAGTTTTTTTTAATTTCGAGGAAATCCTGGGTGGGGAATCCGTCCCTGTCAGGGGTAAGCAAGTCAGGGCCAAGCCTGGTCACTGATGTTCTGCTTTTAAAGCCACCTCTTCAGAAGATACTCAGGCTTTAGTTCTGCTTTGGTAGGTACCAGGGAGCCATTTTGTGTGTGGTGCACTCAGCTTTGTTGTGTGGAGAGCATTGTGTTAAGTTAGGTGAGTTATGGTGAGCTTAGTTTGTGTCCTTGATCCTACAGTAACTTGTGTGCAGCTTTTGTTTTGTCAAGTCTAGTGTGTTTCTTGACTTTTTGTAGGTTTTATGGAGTCTAGCAGTTTGGTACTGACTGAGTGGATCCATTTGTTGCTACTTTTGTGGCTTAGTTGTGTGAACCTACTTGTGTGATGAGAGAGCATTCATGTCAGCTGCTTTTGTGTATTTGGGACACTTTGTTGTGCATTTAATGCACATTTTGAGATTTTTTAGTTTTTTTTGCCCAATGATTTTGAGACCGTAAAAAAAAAGCAGAGGTGAAGGACACTGGAGGGAGAGAGAGCAGAGGGGAAGGACACTGGAGGGAGAGAGAGCAGAGGTGAAGGACACTGGAGGGAGAGAGCAGAGGTGAAGGACACTGGAGGGAGAGAGCAGAGGGGAAGGACACTGGAGGGAGAGAGCAGAGGGGAAGGACACTGGAGGGAGAGAGCAGAGGGGAAGGACACTGGAGGGAGAGAGAGCAGAGGGGAAGGACACTGGAGGGAGAGAGAGCAGAGGTGAAGGACACTGGAGGGAGAGAGCAGAGGGGAAGGACACTGGAGGGAGAGAGCAGAGGGGAAGGACACTGGAGGGAGAGAGAGCGGAGGGGAAGGACACTGGAGGGAGAGAGAGCGGAGGGGAAGGACACTGGAGGGAGAGAGAGCGGAGGGGAAGGACACTGGAGGGAGAGAGAGTGGAGGGGAAGGACACTGGAGGGAGAGAGCAGAGGGAGAGAGCAGGCTTCTGTGTCAGATTTTGTTCAGTCACCCTCGGTGCAGCTATTTGAAAAATTCACCAAAGAACAATTGTTGAGTTTATCTGCATTTTATGATCTTGACACCACTGGTTGGAACAAATATTTGAAGGATCATGTTAGGGACATTGGGAGAGCTGTTTTAGTTGAGAGAGGCCTGCTTCAACCCTCTACAGACCTGCCGGCCTCCCCTGTTCCTGACCGAGTGACTGTTCTTGATCTGGATCCTGCTCCTTCATCTGCTCTGGTCTCTTCAGACGTCGAGTTTTTTTTCCAGTGTATCTGTGGTTGCTGTGGCCTGTTTCTGACCAATCCACTCATCATCCTGGGTCCAAGATGTGGTGTCTCTCTGGACCGCTGCGTTATTGGAGGATTGGAGCCTTCAGTTTGCATGTTGATTTGAGATCAACTTGCTTATGGATGGGGGTGTTATATGGACCTGCCATGCATGCAGACCTGTTCCAGTTCCAGGATCCACTTCCAGGATTTCCAGCCTGCATCATGTTCCCTGCTGGGAGCCTATAAGACCACACCCTGACTCCACCCATCTCTCTCTCTGTCCTGGCAGCAGCAGCCCTGCTCACCACCACACCTGCCGTCCCCTTTTTGGTTTTCTTTGTGTTATTCTCCCTAGACTTTTGTTGCTGTTAATACATTATATTAACTTTTAGTAACCTGTTGTCCTTTATGTTGCACCTGTAGAGCCAGGGTGTAACAAGGGAGAGAGAGCGGAGGGGAAGGACACTGGAGGGAGAGAGAGCAGAGGGGAAGGACACTGGAGGGAGAGAGAGCAGAGGGGAAGGACACTGGAGGGAGAGAGAGCAGAGGGGAAGGACACTGGAGGGGGAGAGAGCGGAGGGGAAGGACACTGGAGGGAGAGAGAGCAGAGGGGAAGGACACTGGAGGGAGAGAGAGCGGAGGTGAAGAACACTGGAGAGAGAGAGAGCAGAGGGGAAGGACACTGGAGGCAGAGAGAGCAGAGGTGAAGAACACTGGAGAGAGAGAGAGCAGAGGTGAAGGACACTGGAGAGAGAGAGAGCAGAGGTGAAGGACACTGGAGGGAGAGAGCAGAGGGGAAGGACACTGGAGGGAGAGAGAGCGGAGGTGAAGAACACTGGAGAGAGAGAGAGCAGAGGGGAAGGACACTGGAGGCAGAGAGAGCAGAGGTGAAGAACACTGGAGAGAGAGAGAGCGGAGGGGAAGGACACTGGAGGGAGAGAGAGCAGAGGGGAAGGACACTGGAGGGGGAGAGAGCAGAGGTGAAGGACACTGGAGAGAGAGAGCGGAGGGGAAGGACACTGGAGGGAGAGAGAGCAGAGGGGAAGGACACTGGAGGGAGAGAGAGCAGAGGGGAAGGACACTGGAGGGAGAGAGAGCGGAGGGGAAGGACACTGGAGGGGGAGAGAGCGGAGGGGAAGGACACTGGAGGGAGAGAGAGCAGAGGGGAAGGACACTGGAGGGAGAGAGAGCGGAGGGGAAGGACACTGGAGGGAGAGAGAGCGGAGGGGAAGGACACTGGAGGGAGAGAGAGCAGAGGGGAAGGACACTGGAGGGGGAGAGAGCAGAGGTGAAGGACACTGGAGGGAGAGAGCGGAGGGGAAGGACACTGGAGGGAGCTGGAGTGAGGGGAAGGACACTGGAGAGAGAGAGCAGAGGGAGAGGGAGGGAGGGGAAGGACACTGGAGGGAGAGAGAGCGGAGGGGAAGGACACTGGAGGGGGAGAGAGCAGAGGTGAAGGACACTGGAGGGAGAGAGCAGAGGTGAAGGACACTGGAGGGAGCTGGAGTGAGGGGAAGGACACTGGAGAGAGAGAGCAGAGGTGAAGGACACTGGAGGGAGAGGGAGTGAGGGGAAGGACACTGGAGGGAGAGAGCGGAGGTGAAGGACACTGGAGGGAGAGAGCGGAGGGGAAGGACACTGGAGGGAGAGAGAGCGGAGGGGAAGGACACTGGAGGGAGAGAGCAGAGATGAAGGACACTGGAGAGAGAGAGCAGAGGTGAAGGACACTGGAGGGAGAGAGAGCAGAGGTGAAGGACACTGGAGGGAGAGGGAGGGAGGGGAAGGACACTGGAGAGAGAGAGCAGAGGTGAAGGACACTGGAGGGAGAGAGAGCAGAGGGGAAGGACACTGGAGGCAGAGAGAGCAGAGGGGAAGGACACTGGAGGGAGAGAGCAGAGGTGAAGGACACTGGAGGGAGAGAGCAGAGGGGAAGGACACTGGAGGGAGAGAGAGCAGAGGTGAAGGACACTGGAGGGAGAGAGAGCAGAGGTGAAGGACACTGGAGGGGGAGAGCGGAGGTGAAGGACACTGGAGGGAGAGAGAGCAGAGGGGAAGGACACTGGAGGGAGCTGGAGTGAGGGGAAGGACACTGGAGGGAGAGAGCAGAGGTGAAGGACACTGGAGGGAGAGAGAGCAGAGGTGAAGGACACTGGAGGGAGAGAGAGCAGAGGTGAAGGACACTGGAGGGAGAGGGGAGGGAGGGGAAGGACACTGGAGAGAGAGAGCAGAGGTGAAGGACACTGGAGGGAGAGAGAGCAGAGGGGAAGGACACTGGAGGCAGAGAGAGCAGAGGGGAAGGACACTGGAGGCAGAGAGAGCAGAGGGGAAGGACACTGGAGGGAGAGAGAGCAGAGGTGAAGGACACTGGAGAGAGAGAGAGCAGAGGTGAAGGACACTGGAGGGGGAGAGCGGGAGGTGAAGGACACTGGAGGGAGAGGGAGGGAGGGGAAGGACACTGGAGAGAGAGAGCAGAGGTGAAGGACACTGGAGGGAGAGAGAGCAGAGGGGAAGGACACTGGAGGGAGAGAGAGCAGAGGGGAAGGACACTGGAGGCAGAGAGAGCAGAGGTGAAGAACACTGGAGAGAGAGAGAGCAGAGGGGAAGGACACTGGAGGCAGAGAGAGCAGAGGTGAAGAACACTGGAGAGAGAGAGAGCAGAGGGGAAGGACACTGGAGGCAGAGAGAGCAGAGGTGAAGAACACTGGAGAGAGAGAGAGCAGAGGTGAAGGACACTGGAGAGAGAGAGAGCAGAGGTGAAGGACACTGGAGGGAGAGAGCAGAGGGAGAGAGAGAGCAGAGGTGAAGGACACTGGAGGGAGAGAGAGCAGAGGTGAAGGACACTGGAGGGAGAGAGAGCAGAGGTGAAGGACACTGGAGGGGGAGAGCGGAGGTGAAGGACACTGGAGGGAGAGAGAGCAGAGGTGAAGGACACTGGAGGGAGAGAGAGCAGAGGTGAAGGACACTGGAGGGAGAGAGAGCAGAGGTGAAGGACACTGGAGGGAGAGAGAGCAGAGGTGAAGGACACTGGAGGGGGAGAGCGGAGGTGAAGGACACTGGAGGGAGAGAGAGCAGAGGTGAAGGACACTGGAGGGAGAGAGAGCAGAGGGGAAGGACACTGGAGGCAGAGAGAGCAGAGGGGAAGGACACTGGAGGGAGAGAGAGCAGAGGGGAAGGACACTGGAGGCAGAGAGAGCAGAGGGGAAGGACACTGGAGGGAGAGAGAGCAGAGGTGAAGGACACTGGAGAGAGAGAGCGGAGGTGAAGGACACTGGAGGGAGAGGGAGGGAGGGGAAGGACACTGGAGAGAGAGAGCAGAGGTGAAGGACACTGGAGGGAGAGAGAGCAGAGGGGAAGGACACTGGAGGGAGAGAGAGCAGAGGGGAAGGACACTGGAGGCAGAGAGAGCAGAGGTGAAGAACACTGGAGAGAGAGAGAGCAGAGGTGAAGGACACTGGAGAGAGAGAGAGCAGAGGTGAAGGACACTGGAGGGAGAGAGCAGAGGGAGAGAGAGAGCAGAGGTGAAGGACACTGGAGGGAGAGAGAGCAGAGGTGAAGGACACTGGAGGGAGAGAGAGCAGAGGTGAAGGACACTGGAGGGGGAGAGAGCAGAGGTGAAGGACACTGGAGGGAGAGAGAGCAGAGGTGAAGGACACTGGAGGGAGAGAGAGCAGAGGTGAAGGACACTGGAGGGAGAGAGAGCAGAGGTGAAGGACACTGGAGGGAGAGAGAGCAGAGGGGAAGGACACTGGAGGGAGAGAGAGCAGAGGGGAAGGACACTGGAGGCAGAGAGAGCAGAGGTGAAGAACACTGGAGAGAGAGAGAGCAGAGGGGAAGGACACTGGAGGCAGAGAGAGCAGAGGTGAAGAACACTGGAGAGAGAGAGAGCAGAGGGGAAGGACACTGGAGGCAGAGAGAGCAGAGGTGAAGAACACTGGAGAGAGAGAGAGCAGAGGTGAAGGACACTGGAGGGAGAGAGCAGAGGGAGAGAGAGAGCAGAGGTGAAGGACACTGGAGGGAGAGAGAGCAGAGGTGAAGGACACTGGAGGGAGAGAGAGCAGAGGTGAAGGACACTGGAGGGAGAGAGAGCAGAGGTGAAGGACACTGGAGGGAGAGAGAGCAGAGGTGAAGGACACTGGAGGGAGAGAGCGGAGGTGAAGGACACTGGAGGGAGAGAGAGCAGAGGTGAAGGACACTGGAGGGAGAGAGAGCAGAGGTGAAGGACACTGGAGGGAGAGGGAGTGAGGGGTATGACCAGGAGATGAACCTCGGAGGAGTTCAGTGTAAAAACAGAAAAAAACCCAACATAAAAAGAGATGGATAGATGCTTTATTGATCCCTGTAGGAGAAAGTGTCCAGTAGCAGCAGAAACACATTCATTCACACAAACATCCATCCATCTTCTTCCCCTTAATCCATTTCTGGGTCAGGGGGGTGGCAGTCAGAGATGCCACCCAAGTCTCATAGCACCAGCCCCTCACTGACCCTCTGCAGGTGGTGAGTCCACAGGAGGACGGCTGCTCTGTCAGTGACAATACGGCCTTGATTTTTCAGCGGGGGCTTCAGGCAATGCAGGGTTAAGTGTCTTGCCCAAGGACACAACGACAGCAGTCATCAGTGGGAGTCGGTGGAGAAGGTCCCGTGGTGGGCTTGAACCTACAACCTTCAGGCTCAAAGGCCAGTGCTCTACCAAATGAGCTAGTGTCGCCCCTAAACAAAACCAATAAATAGATCATTCAAAAAGTAGCTAACAATAGTATTAAAATGTACTTCAGGTCACAGCAGCAGAGGTCGTGCAGATTTGTTCAGACCATTTTCTCTGCTCTGGTCCAGAGTAAAACGCTGAACGCTTTGTTAGCATTTTTCAAAACAATTAGCTTTCCTCCAGTGGATTGCGTGATCTCCTTGGTTCGGACCATGAATCCTCTCTGCCCTGGTCTGGATCAGTGTTAAACTATAAACACAGTAGTAATATTTACTAGAAAAATAACAATCGTAAAACACAAAAACAACAACTGTTTCAGAGCATTCCAAAGTAAAAGTGATCCATGAGAGAGTTAGCGACGATGCTAACCGGGGGGATGTGGAGACGCAGGTTGGATTCGCCTCCACACCACCACACTGGAACCATCTGTAACGCCGCAGGTTCAGAATGTCCACTGAAACCAGGGCAGACGTGTTGCTAAGACGGTTGCTAGGGCAGGCTGTAATTTCCCCCGCGAATGAAAGCATCTGATTGGTCGATCCTTATATGGCTCGTATCTGGGTTAACAAAGACACTATCACAAAATAAACACCAGGATCACAGATTGTTTAAGATTAACATGTTGAGTGTGACACAAAAGGTTACTGAGATAAAGGAGTCGATAGGAGCCAGAGCGGGTTGGAGTTAAGCTAGCAGGTTAGCATTGTCCATTTATCAGAATCAGAATCAGAATCATTTTTATTGCCACGTAAGTAACAGGAGGTCACAGACTAGGAAATTGCTTTGGCTCAGTGCAACAGTCAAAAAGAGATAATAAAAATAAGAATAAAAAAACACTTCTAAAGAATACATTTAAATTTAAAATAGAGTTACAGTTACTATTTACAATATACAAGTGCACATGGTGCACACAATGTAAGGTGACAGCAGTACAGTGAAGTATACAGGCTATGAGTGTACCGAGCAGTGCCGGGCAAGATACTTCAAAAACCTATACCTCATGATGTGTATATTTCAAAGTAATGTGTTAATCTACAATATTGCAATAATACTGCATTACTTTGAAGTTACTTTCACCAAATGTATAAATACAAACTAAATGTAGCTTATGACGCTAGTGTGAGTTTGATAGAGCATAAACTTAACTGTTCTGTTCCACATCTTTAACAAACTCTAAATGATAAAATACTATTGGAGCAGATGTGTTCTTCTCCAGATCTCACGGTGGAAGAGCATAAAAACTAAACACTATTTAACTTCAGGTTAAAATACAGTGTAATGTTACTGACCTTTGTACAGAGTCAAATATTACCCAGGTTTTAGTGGAATACGTTACATTACAGTCATTACAGTACATTACTTTTGGGACGGGTTACTCCCTCTGGTCACTGGACGGCAGATAGAAACTTACTGTAGCTCTGTTTTTGGGCATGAGACTAAACGACACTGAGACAGAGTCAGAAAATCACATGAGAAATGTACAGGATGTAGAATCTTAAAGAGAGTCTTGAAAATGTGCAGAAAACAACATCGACACCACCTCCAGGTTCTGCTTTAAATGTTTAAAAAGCACTGAAAATGAAACTCCAGGAGCAGAGCACAAGGCTTCGTTTATTTGTATGGCACAGTTCAGACACTAAAAAGCACTAAACAGAGAGAAGACAATCCTTCTGTTGTTGCAGCGAAACAGAACTGGTTTTAACCTGGATTTGAACTTTGTCAGAGAAGAAGCCAGTCCCTGTGCTCCTCAGAGTCCCAGCAGGAGTCCAGTCCCTGTGCTCCTCAGAGTCCCAGCAGGAGTCCAGTCCCTGTGCTCCTCAGAGTCCCAGCAGGAGGCCAGTCCCTGTGCTCCTCAGACTCCCAGCAGGAGGCCAGTCCCTGTGCTCCTCAGAGTCCCAGCAGGAGGCCAGTCCCTGTGCTCCTCAGAGTCCCAGCAGGAGTCCAGTCCCTGTGCTCCTCAGAGTCCCAGCAGGAGACCAGTCCCTGTGCTCCTCAGAGTCCCAGCATGAGTCCAGTCCCTGTGCTCCTCAGAGTCCCAGCAGGAGTCCAGTCCCTGTGCTCCTCAGAGTCCCAGCAGGAGACCAGTCCCTGTGCTCCTCAGAGTCCCAGCAGGAGTCCAGTCCCTGTGCTCCTCAGAGTCCCAGCAGGAGACCAGTCCCTGTGCTCCTCAGAGTCCCAACAGGAGACCAGTCCCTGTGCTCCTCAGAGTCCCAGCAGGAGTCCAGTCCCTGTGCTCCTCAGAGTCCCAGCAGGAGTCCAGTCCCTGTGCTCCTCAGAGTCCCAGCATGAGTCCAGTCCCTGTGCTCCTCAGAGTCTCAGCAGCAAACCAGTCCCTGTGCTCCTCAGAGTCCCAGCATGAGTCCAGTCCCTGTGCTCCTCGGAGTCCCAGCAGGAAACCAGTCCCTGTGCTCCTCAGAGTCCCAGCATGAGTCCAGTCCCTGTGCTCCTCGGAGTCCCAGCAGGAGTCCAGTCCCTGTGCTCCTCAGAGTCCCAGCAGGAGACCAGTCCCTGTGCTCCTCAGAGTCCCAGCAGGAGTCCAGTCCCTGTGCTCCTCAGAGTCCCAGCAGGAGACCAGTCCCTGTGCTCCTCAGAGTCCCAGCAGGAGTCCAGTCCCTGTGCTCCTCAGAGTCCCAGCAGGAGTCCAGTCCCTGTGCTCCTCAGAGTCCCAGCAGGAGACCAGTCCCTGTGCTCCTCAGAATCCCAGCAGGAGTCAGTCCCTGTGCTCCAATGTTTGGATGCACCCAAGACGAGTCAATTAAAACAATAATTTTTATCATTATTTTTCTTAAAATCATTTTTTTCCATTTAAAACCAGGATAAGAAAGCCGTCTTTGTGAACAGAGCGAGAGGAAGCAGCTCTGTGGGAAACTGAGGCATGAATCATCGCTTCTTCCCGGAAGTTGAGTCACGCAGGATTTTTCTTGTGACCAAAACTGAAAATTGGTCTTAATGTGAGTGAAGTAACATTCATGGTTCATGGTTCAGTTACAGGTTGTGTAATGTACAGTTAAGGTGCATAAATATATACAAAGTTTATGCACATACTGTATACAAAATTAAGAGAGAGACACTAAAATGAACTACAATGAACTTAATAATAATATAATTGGTTTTATAGTCCTAAACCACTGCAGTAGATCCAGGACTGAGGCTGTATTTATACCTTAACCCTTTATATGACTAAACTCTATGGTTCAGGAGATCTGTTTTAATTCAGCCAAAAAAATAGCCAATCCAGATCAAGATGATTACAGTGAATGTTGATGACTCTTGCCCTGTTTTTCTTGTGACCAAAAGTCTCTCTCTTGTATCTCTACTATTCTGAAAACAGTTAAATGTTTGAAGAATGTGAAGAATCTTGTAGTGGGAGTGATGGTCCTGGTCTCTCTCTGGTCTCTCTGTGGTCTGATGGTCCTGGTCTCTCTCTGGTCTCTCTGTGGTCTGATGGTCCTGGTCTCTGGTCTCTCTGTGGTCTGATGGTCCTGGTCTCTCTCTGGTCTCTCTGTGGTCTGATGGTCCTGGTCTCTCTCTGGTCTCTCTGTGGTCTGATGGTCCTGGTCTCTCTCTGGTCTCTCTGTGGTCTGATGGTCCTGGTCTCTCTCTGGTCTCTCTGTGGTCTGATGGTCCTGGTCTCTCTCTGGTCTCTCTGTGGTCTGATGGTCCTGGTCTCACACACGGACCCTCAGTGCTCGTCTGTGTCTGATACAGATAGAAGTGAATGAGGTTGTTGTGTGTCCTCTCAATGGCTTCTCTGTCGTTTAGCGTCTGCCACGGCACAATCCTCTCTTTATCAAACTTTTATCGTTGATTGTAATGTTCTGTATTCACCAAAAACACAGCAGCGTTTTGAAACATAAAATAATTCTGTTCAAAATTCTGTTACACAAGTTAGGATATTCGTCGGCGAAAGTGTGTGTGTGTGTGTGTGTATGTGTGTGCGTGTGTGTGTGATTCAACAAACAACAGTAGAAATGTGAAATTCTCAAACTTCAGAATGCGATGCGAGACTTAAGGATTGGCTCCAACTCGAACCAGGAAGTTCTTAAACTGAAATCTGAAACTTTAAAACTTTAAAAAGTTCACAATGACAAGAGACACCTGGTAGTACTCCACTGGTCCTGTTTAACCAGTACCAGGTTCCTCTTTAGTCCCTCTTGGTCCTGGTTCTATCCAGGCCGAGGTGGTACTAAAGTGTTCTAACTGACAGTGATTGGACAGAGTGCTGCTGGAAGCCATGGTTACCAAGGAAATTACCTGGATACTGATACTGATACTGGTAGATTGCAAGGATACAGTACCAGATAATAGTGGAGTTGAGTAGAGTAGAGTAGGGTAGAGTAAAGTAGAGTAGGGTAGAGTAGAGTTGAGTAAAGTAGAGTAGAGTAGGGTAGAGTAGGGTAGGGTAGGGTAGAGCTGGGTAGAGTAGAGTAAAGAAAAGTAGGGTAGAGTAAAGTAGAGTCTAGTAGGGTAGGGTAGAGCTGGGTAGAGTAGAGTAAGGTAAAGTAGGGTAGAGTAAAGTAGAGTAGAGTAGGGTAGGGTAGAATAGGGTAGAGTAAAGTAGAGTAGAGTAGGGTGGAGTTGAGTAAAGTAGAGTAGAGTAGGGTAGGGTAGAGTTGGGTAGAGTAGAGTAGGGTAAAGTAGGGTAGAGTAGAGTAGGGTAGGGTAGAGTTGGGTAGTATATAGGTAGTAGAGTAGAGTAGAATAGTTATGTGGGGAGAAGAGTCTGTGGGTTGTTTGCAGGGAATTGATTTGTATATTGTATATGATTAGATAGGTATAAGTTCTTTGAAAAGAAGTTATTTGGGTATTGGTAGTGATAGTAATCTGAGGGTAAAGTAAAGTATGTTTTTTTGTGTTTGGTAGGGGTTATAGTGTTGATGGGATGGTGACATATGGTGTATGTGAGTAGTGTGGGGTGGCGATGATGGTATGTGAGGGGAGATGAGGGGGTGAATATGAGGTTTTTAGATGGACTGTTATGTTTTGGAGGTTACAAGGTAATAGCTGGGTGAATTATCCTAATGGTGTTGTGTTGATCTGTTATTATTGTTGTGCGATGTGATAGGTCCTCAGGTAACAATTTTATATAGTTGGGGGTGTTAACGGGGGTGGATAGATTTCTCAAGTGCAGCATGATGTATATATATAATATATATATATATCTATCCTATAATATATATATATATATTTCAATAATACCTCATCATAACTCATCATACTACTATGACTCAAAAATCTATAAATATAACATTATATAATGGTATGTATATAATATTTTTAAATGTAAGTAAGTAAATCTAATATATTTATTACTACACTCACATCACTTCTTATCACTCTTAATCTCATTCTATGACTGACTAACAATATTGATATATGAATAAAACAAAAATGTAAGTATTTATATCTTTACTCATAATCTCAAA